AACTTAGGGATTCGAGATTACTTTGATATTTATCATTTTTCTAGAAGTGTTACTTTGATGTTGATCAAGTTCCTTTCTGGCGTGTCTCACGATTAAGTATTAACTACCTTCTAGGGCAAGATCGTATGTCCCATTGCTACTAATCATTTACCTTAGCTTCTTTTTTTTCTTTTGTAGTAAATAACTAAATATCATTAATCATAAAAGTTTTAGGAATACAAATAGCAATGGGACATACGATCCATTTACCTTAGCTTCTTGACAAAATCTTGCATAACTTTGGCATCATCGTTGCTTAACTTGTACTGGTCTGCCTGATTTTCTCTAATCGTTATCAACATTATAACACGTTGGAGTTTATACCATCGTATGACCACAACAGAACTCCGACGCCAAAGTTATAACCGGAGACCAAACCGTACGCCTTGATTGCGAAAATCACCTTCACGAGCATGCATCACAGATAATGCCATCAAATTCATAGAGATAAGACGGCACTGACGAATTCGGGGTCCCACCGTGGAGAAAACAAATAAAAAGCAAACGAAATTGTAGAAAAATGATGAATTATAATTATAATTATAATTAGGAAAGAAACCAAACAAAATTGCACAAGTGCTGAACAAAAACCTAATGGTGTTTTTGAGACATAAGGAAACTCAATTACACAAAATGTTTTCCATGGCATAGAAACCAGGTTAAGAGTAACCCGATAAACCCGATAAATGAACACAGAAGAGTTCATTGCTATAACATGAATACACTTTCTTAGAATCATCTTGGGAAGTTAATTTGCTTTCAACGGATTTTCTTCTTCATCGATCTGCTTTGTCTCCACGTTGTTGGCATCTACACAAATCTTTCTCCAGCAAGGAAAGAAATGAGTAAACGTATCAAGGGTTATTTACAAATCTTTTAATATCTCTTATATATTATTTGGAAAGTGATTTCAGATGCTTATGTGTCATCTCTACATTCACTCTCCCAAATAAAATATGATATGACAATCTTTTAATATAACATGACAATTTGTTTAACTTAGTCATAAACTTACTTTCCAATGCTACTCAAAATCAAATCAATAACTTAGTCATAAGATTTGATTTAACAATAACATTTACGAAAAAAAAACTATAAGAAAAATTACGTTTTCATACTAAAAAAATATATTATGTACGTTTTTATATCTAAACAAAAATAAATACGTATATATAAAACTTTGATCCGGCCCATAAAAATACCTTGGAAAAATAGGGCGTGCCAATTTCCCAAGTATAAAACCCCTCGACTTTTCATTCCTTTGGAACCTAAACAAATATGAACAGTCGCGGCTTAAGAACAAAAAGACATAATTCTTTTTCTTCACATTTTGCGATTGTAACGCTGCGTGTTTAGTTGTTTACTCTCATCTTCTCTGTTTGGTTAAATTCTCATGTCTACTCTTTAATTTAACTTGGTTTGTGTTTGAAACGTGCTTGGGAGTTTACATACACATGGACTAGGGTTTGGGCGATCGAACTGGTTTTATGTAACTTTGTTACGTCTAAATTAAAATTTAATGAGTTTTTGGTTACTTGGCTGATATTTATTTTTTGTTTTTTTGGGTTTATGCGACATTGAGACGTGGTCATGCAATACTCGAAAGCTTTCTTCAGATAGTAACTTTGTTTACTAACAAGGTTTGATTCTTGCCAACAACTATATCTGGAACGTTACCCTGAAGAATGCTTTTCAGTCTTGCTTGACCAAACCTCAATGTCTTTCTTTAAGAAACAATTGCCTAATCAGCCCATTAGTGTCGCCATTGAAACTCGTGCTTATATGTAGCTTACAGTAGAGTTTGGGCGGATTGATTATGTTACTTTCTTACTTCTAAATTGAAACTTTAGTGTGATAGATCTTTTTTTCCCTTGTAATACAACAATTAAAAGCATTCTTCAGTGTAACCTTGTCCGGAATCAATACACACAAGAAA